CACAGATGCTGCCAGACCTGCTGAGCTTTTCCAGCAACTTCTATTTTTGTTCCTGATTTACAGCATCCGCAGTTCTTTCGGTTTTTACTTAGTATTTAACTCACTGCCACATCTCTTCTAGGCATGCCCACCTTGAAGAAATTTTGCTCCTCGCTCCAACGGGATTTCCGTTCCGATCTTTCTTCTTGCCCACCGACTTTAATCGCACTGTCACTCCTGGCGTTTGACCAGGTATTTGCTAAAACTCATTTCCACAAACATATCCCATTCCTCAGTGACTGCCTCTGGCTCAGACTCACCCCACGTGGATTCCAACTGAAGTTTCATACCTCGTGTTTTGAATCCTCCCAGGATCACAGATATCCCTGTGATGTTCAACGTTCCACTGACAGCTGCTCTCGCCACATCCTGAGATCCACACTCAGTGCCATGCGGTGCCATATGCACACTCTCAACCTCTCTCTCCAACAGCATTGCAACGTGCTGGCTCAGGGCTGCACCATTTCGCAGTTCCACTTCACCCTCCGGCTCATTCATCGTGCTAACAAGAAACTTTATCTTTTCCTTTCAGGCATCAAGGCCCACGAGATGCAACAACTCAGAGATACCCATGGCCCTCTGCAACCTTCTTCTCCCCACCTTCCCTCTGAGTCTATCCCCCAACCTCCCACCACAACTCCTGTCGGGTAGTCACCATCCCTCCTAACCTTCCGCTCTCTGATTCTGAACACTCGGTACTCAGCAAAGGCCTCTGCTGTATCCCTCTGCGTCCCTACCTTAACAAATTTCGGGCAAGACATGACATCAAACTCTTCTTCCGCTGTCTTCGCCTCCGTGCTCATTTCTTTGGACAAGAGTCCTCTCCCCATCCCACAGACCCCTTTACCCAACTCCAACGCTCTCCCTCCACCTGGACCCCTCCCTCTGGCCTTTTACCTGCACTTGATCTTTTCATTGAAAACTGTCGACGTGACATCAGTCGCCTCAATTTCTCTGCCCCTCTCACCAAATCCAACCTATGCCCCCCCAAACTGACTGCACTCCGTGCACTCAGATCTAACCCTGACTTTGTTATTAAGCCTGCCAATAAGGGTGGTGCTGTTGTAGTCTGGCATACTGACCTCTACCTTGCAGAGGCTGAGCACCAGCTCTCAGATACCTCCTCCTACCTTCCCCTGGGCCATGACCCCACCATGGCACATCAGGCCATTGTATCCACTACGGTAACTAATCTCATTTCATCCGGTGATCTCCCCCGCTACGCATCCAAGGTTATAGTTCCCCCAACCCCGTACAGCTTGTTTCTACCTCCTGCCAGAAATCCACAAACAGGACTATCCAGGTAGACCCATTGTTTCAGCCTGCTCGTGCCCCACAGAACTCATCTCTTCCTACCTTGACTCAGTCTTCACCCCCCGGTCCAATCCCTGCCCACATACGTCCATGATTCATCTGACGCCTTACGCTGGTTTCAAAACTTCCAGTTTGCCGGTTCCAGCCACCTCCTCTTTACCATGGATGTGCAATCCCTTTTTACATCCATTCCCCACCAGGAGGGTCTTAGGGCTCTCCACTTCTTCCTGGAGCAAAGACCTGAACCATCCCCAAACACCACCACCCTCCACCGTTTGGCCAAGCTCGTCCTCAACCTCAACAACTTCTCTTTCAACTCCTCTCATTTTCTTCAGGTAAGAGTGGTGGCCATGGGTACCCACATGGGCCCTAGTTATGCCTGTCTCTTCGTGGGGTACATGGAGCATTCCTTGTTCCAGTCCTATTCCGGCCCCCCCACCCACAACTCTTTCTCCGAGTCATCGATGATATCATCGGTGCTGCTTCCCTCTCTCATCCGGAGTTGGAAAACTTCATCAATTTCGCCTCCAATTTCCACCCTGCCCTCACCTTCAACTGGTCTATCTCTGACTCCTCCCTTGACATCTCTATTTCCACTTCTGGGGATAGGCTGGCCACTAATATCCACTACAAACCCACCGACTCCCACAGCTGAAACAAAAACTTCTGAGGAAGGGTCACCGGACCCGAAAAGTTAACTCTGTTTTCTTCCTTCACAGATGCTGCCAGCCCTGCTGAGCTTTTCCAGCAACTTGTTTTTGTTGCACTCCTCCTCCTGCACTGCAGAGGTCACTGTGGCTCCCATTTGCTCTATCTGTGTCTAAACCTCCCAGGGTGCCTCTTGTCTTTGCCTGCCTGCTCTTTGTTGTGTCTGGTTCCTCCTCCAGATTATCTTCCGGTCCTCCAGCGGGCTCTGGTTTTCCTGTGCCAAAGAGGTGAAGGACAAGAGGCGACCAGTTATTTGACAATCATTCCTTTTATTATCCAAGGCTTTTTGCAAATCTTTTAAATAATTAAGGCAAATATAATTAAATGCTCCAGACACTGGAAATATTGCACACTGTTTGCACAATTAAAAACATAATTGGAGGACAAAAATTAAAATCTAAGCCACTGCTCAGCTCCAAAGGGGAGTCTGCACAATTCACTAAATTCAAACTGAGCAGAATGTCTGGCTTCTTGCAAAATAGAAATCACGATTGCATACAAGATTTAAACTTTCAAATCTCACACAAAGCTCCATACAAAAGCCTGCATTTAACTGTAAATCACTGTACCATTTTAAAAGTTGGAAATCAATCTGATTTTCCATTTGTGAAGCTTACTCTAAGGCAGTTTTTTTCCTGATTATTTCTGTGTCGACACAGGGTAAAGCTCTCTCCAAATTTCCCCCTCGCTTCTGCACCAACCCCTTACCCAGCAATCAAACTCTCCCAGGGACAGGGACAGCACAGGGTTAACTGTCCCCCATCAAACACTCCCACGACAGGGACAGCACAGGGTTAGATACAGCGTAAAGCTTCCTCTACACTGTCTCCATCAAACACTCTCAGGACAGGGACAGCACAGGGTTAGATACAGCGTAAAGCTTCCTCTACACTGTCCCCATCAAACACTCCCAGGACAGGGACAGCACGGGGTTAGATACAGAGTAAAGCTCCCTCTACACTGTCCCCATCAAACACTCTCAGGACAGGGACAGCACGGGGTTAGATACAGAGTAAAGCTTCCACTACACTGTCCCCCACCCCCATCAAACACTCCCAGGGCAGGGACAGCACAGGGTTAGAGACAGAGTAAAGCTCCCTCTACACTGTCCCCCATCAAAC